TATATATATATATATATATATATATATATATATATATATATATATATATATATATATATATATATATATATATATATATATATATATATATATATATATATATATATATATATATATATATATATATATATATATATATATATATATATATATATATATATATATATATATATATATATATAATTTAAATAAAAAACAGAGCACTTTAAGGTTCCATGTAATAAATTATTTCACCACAGCCCTTTTAAAGGACTGCGGATCATCAGAACTTTACTTCCAAAGGTTGAAACGAAAAAAAAAAAAAAAAATAAAATCTGATGATCCAGTCTTTAAAAAAGGATTGTGGTGAAATAATTCATTATGGAACCTTAAAAATCTGTTTTTATTTAAATTATTTTGCTCTGGATTTACATTGAGCTCTCTGGATTTTATCCTCCTTAGGTTTACTCATACGGATTACCTAGTTTTCTATAAACTAACCATATACATATATATATATATATATATATATATATATATATATGATGAACTCTTCCATTGATCTTGACATATGAAGATCCAACAACCTCATTAAGTTTTTTTTATGTCTATGTCATATGTGACATTTCAGTCCTGATAGAGACCTGCATATAACTCTGTGTATTATTGTGCAACAGCGAGAATCTCAGGACATAGCCAGAGGAATTTTTGCTGATGCTTTTTGCCTTTATCTCTTAGCCGGTTGACACAACTGATTTCAAAATTTCTGATACCATATCTGTGTGTGTGCATGTGAAGGGGATGTATGTGTGTGTGAACCCAGCCAGTGAGCATATTATTTTCTTTCTCTCAAATGTGCTAATTCAATGTTTAAAAGAAAAAAATAACAGGGCATCTATTTAAACATGAATACCCACAAAATAATGTTTGTAGTAGAATATTATATATATATATATATATATATATATATATATATATATATGTGTGTGTGTGTGAATATATAGAAAAATAAGAAAAGAACATGTTAGGTTAATAATCTGAAGTTCTTTAGTAGTTTTGTTTTTATTCTAAAAAAACAGTGCTCAATACAAAAGTAGAGCCTAACTTATAATCGTTTTATTTTTATAATATATATATATATATATATATATATATATATATAGCATATATTTTGTCAGCATGTTTTCATTAAGAACACATGCTGCCAAAATATAATAAATTAGACTAAATAAAATAATTTATACAATTTTTGTTCACTTATTTTTAATATGATCCTCTCATATTCACAGATAAACTTCTTAGTATCCTTATTAAAGGATAAAAGAAAGATACGATATTGATGCATATTCATTTACTCTGAGTACTTTCAACATTAGCACAATGTCATCTTAAGGGTCTTGTTTGTTGTGTTTATCTGAAAATTAAATATTTTTATTTTTGGAGCAGAAAATGCTAAACTTATGTACTGAATTTAAAATTTTATGGTGTAAGCATACATGTGCAGTAACATCAAGAGAGGTAACCAAGTTATAAAGATATTGATTTTTTAAAAAAACTATTTGAAGCTATTAGTTAAAACCTAAATACTTTTAAATTATCTACTGTTATCTTGTCTGTGAACATGAAAGCATCATATTAAAAATAAGTATACAAAATTATTTAATGAGTCATGTCTTACATATATATATATATATATATATGTATGTGTGTGTGTGTGTGTGCGTGTGTGTGTCTGTGTTGTCTGGATATATCTCATCAATTACTCACCTAAAAATCCACCACACACATATACCTTGGCATGGATAACAAGTCAAATCTTGGCCCGTCATTTCTTGCAGTTATGATTAGAACAAAATGATGTGATTCCTTCATTTTGCTGCAAAAGAATCTTCATTACACATCCATTGTTACAGGAATTTGAATGAAGTTTTAAAACTATGTTTGTGTATATATATATATATATATATATATATGTATATGTATTGGGGAAAAATCTATGACAAAGTGGAAAAAGTTTTCTTGTGATGCTTTGGTTGGCCACTATAATGAGACTGGCCACAATTTTGACATAAAAAAATGCTACTCTGATCAAAGAAGAAAACAATTCACTACAACCAAAATCTCTAGTACGTGCCCTGATCACAAGATCATCTACAGTAAATTTGTGCCCTGGCTCTTATAATATTTCACCATTCCTGTCAGATCTTTTCTTATCACTAATTCATCACCATTCCTGGCAGATCTGTCTGTTACCTACCAACAAAAGTGATGGAAAGAAAAAAAAAAGAAAAGGAATCAAAATTAAAATCAACTAGATTTAAAAAAAAAAAATTTTAATTTCCAACATCCCTCATCTGTGCACGTGTGTAGCCACATCAACCTAGCAAATTTAGTCAGATGAAATCCTCAAGGATCACAAGAAAACTTTTCCCACTTTGTCATACATATTTTCCTAATATTGTTCCTGATATATAAAAATCATTATCTCATATATATATATATATATATATATATATATATATATATATATATATGAAGCAGCAGCATTTTTTTTTTATCTGCAAAACATTCAAGAAACTCAGATTCAAATTTCTAATCAACCATGACAAAAATGATGTGGAACTGAATGCCAAGTAAAAAGTATACTATCAAATATTAACATACACACAGATGCATCTTTCAGGAATATTGTGTAAAATGGCTTCACAGAAGGAGAAAAGCAACAGAGTATGACACTTGATTCCCTAAAAGCATCCCCAACATAGTTGGAGTCTTTTTGCTTATGGTCTACAATGTCAAGAAGACCCATAGACACAGGCAATAACATCCATGGGAAGATGGACAGAATCAACAAGAAACAGAATTCAGTCTTTATTAATACCATCAAGACTAAAATTGCTATGGATCCATTAACATCCAAGTGTAAGAGACGTCCTGAGCAAAAAAGTGAAATACAAGACCATCAGAATAGTCATCTATAATATTTGTGAGCTTTAAATCACACACCAGGAGACCAAGACACTTTCTCACTGAGTCCATGAAATCCTGAAGGCTGAAAATACACAAAATATCTTCAGGTATTTTTCTTTTAATCAATTCACCCCAAGCAAGGTGATAATGGCACTAAGATACAAGGGGTTACTGGGAATGAAAGAGAATGATGAGACATTAGAAGAAACTGGAAACCCAATCCTAAACAGGACAAAAGGGAGAAACTTCTACCCTTGTTCAAAAGACTGGGAAGAGTGTGAATCAATATTCTCTGATGAGAAAATCTTTGCAGTAGAAAATGAATGGCAATTTTCTAAGTCAGCCATTAAAGTTAAGGTCACTTTCAGGACCAAACATCCAGCTTGGGTCATAGTTCTGGATGTTGTGTCCCCTGATGGGAAAAAGATGCCACCATTCTTCTACAAGGTCTTGAGGTTTCATCTTTTACCATAACTCGAGACTAACTACCTAGACAGAAAGTATATGTGGACCCAGAATATACAAGCTGCCAAGAAGGTACAGAAGTTCTGAAAAGCTAAATGTGCTGATTTCTGGCTAGCATAAATTTAAACCCACCCAGACTATGGCATGTGGGACATTTTGGAGTAGGACATAAAGTAATCTTATTCTAACAGAAATGCTCTCAAACCTTTTGTGGTTAAGAATTGTGCAACTTTTTGAAGTCATATCAAGACAATAATTGAAATTAATGGAACCCACATTGAATAAATTATTCTCTTTGATATTATCTATGAGTTTAATTAATCATCTTTTGTATTCATTAGCCTACTTATGCATAATAAGTGAGTTTGGAAGGTTACAGTAATTTTTTAAAGTTTTACTTCCCCACCATACACACACACACACACACACAATGAAAGGATGGCTCTAGTCATAACCTGAGTTAGATGCTCAAATGATCTTCAGATGACTTGAACAGAAATGAAAGAAGGGAGGGTGAGCTTTATATAACCCATGAATCACCCTAAAGCACCAGGGAAAAAAAATTAAAAAGAATAATTTCATTAATAAACCTGTGGATAACGACACCTACACAAAAGCAAAAAAATTAGGCAAAGAAAAAACCCCTGTGAGTGGGATAAACTAATTATTGTCGTACTGTACGGTCAGAATCGGGGGAGGGGTGAACCAACACCAATAAACCAATATCCTAGTCAGGTAACACTAAGTATTTTATGTCTACATCTGCTAATTAACCGTGTTTTTTTTTATCAAGTATTCTGTTATTGCTCAATGTAGACAATCTAGGATATGAGCACTTTACTAAGTAGTTTGCTATTAGTCCTTTTTTCTCTTTCTTTTTTCAGTATTGTCATTTGTATTTGAGACTGTATCTGGATAAGACTTTTAGGTTTTGGCAAGTTGTCTTTTGGTTCCACCAATTGTTTTTGTACTTCTTATATATATATATATATATATATATATATATAACCAGCCTCATAAAACAATTGTTTTTCTTTAAACTATCCTTGTGAAAAAACATTTGAGCAGACAAATTTTTGTTCTCTCTTTTCCCTCTGTCAACATATCTGGAACAATATCAGCTTTCTAAATTATTTACATGTCTTCTCTTAAACTCAATTTTACAATATTCTAAAAACAGATTTATCTAAAATCAAAAGACAAATTGCAAAATGCTGTTTGGTGTATTTTCATCTTTTCATCTTAGAACTTTTGTTTTCTTTATGAAAGTAAATTTTTTCTTTTTCACTTTTTCCCCTTCTGAAAGTAAAAATCCATTTTTTATTTTGTGAAACATCTTTGAGGTGTCTTGGGAACCAAGAATAACAGAAAGGCAGGCAGGCTGGCAAGCAGAAGAGAGCTGGCTCCCCAGCCCAATTATATCAATCAACTGAATGTTTGAGTGCAGATGGTTAAACTTATGACATGGGCTTTTCTCTACTGGTTACTTCCCCAAATTGAAATTCACAAGATAATGTCGCTCACACAGTGAGGACAAGAGAAAGGAGGAGAAAAGAACACTTCCTCCATCTATCCAAGTAACTGCATTATTCACAAGCCAATTTGCTGTCGAAACTGCTAAGGGCAATACCAAATGCTTGCAGGGCACAGCAAGGATACTGAAAGTCCATTGTGAAAACATCTTCAGCGACTCGACCAAACTGCATGACAATATAATCGACTGAAAAGAACAAAAGTGAATTTTAGTGAGAAGATTTATGCAAAAGAAAAACTGAAAACATTTCAAATAAGTAAATAAATTTTAAACTGAAATTCACTTTGATTTATAATTAATTAACTTGAAGGTAACACAAAAAACAACTTTGCATGTGAATGCACATGAATATTAAATATAATGAAGTTATTAACTTTTAAAATTTGATATTAAAATTTACCTTTAAAAACAACACAAGTCGCATTGATTACATTTATTGATTTTACATTCACTCTATACATGTATTTATTTCTATACACACCCTAAATAACTTTCCACCCATATTAGATGCAGTGAAACATTTGAATAATTGCTTTTTTTTTTTTTTATTATATATCAGAGGGAAGCAAATAACATGCAAAATATTTGGTATGGCAGTGTCTTTCAAGAAAATAATCACTTGAATTATTGTAACAACAAAACCACTGAGCTGCATATAGTAAATGCCTACAATTTTCTCTACCTAAGAAGAAATCAATTTAATGACAATATTGTGGACAGAAATTTGCAAATTGAGATTTGTTTTTATTCTCATTTGCATATTTTTGCCAGCCACACACCTGGACTAAAAACTTACAACATATTTTGAATAATCACTGAATATCTGGCTGGCATGTGTGATAGTTTTCACAGTGTCAAACAAAAATAGGATATATATTATTATTATTTTAAATATTAGAACAAAAACATATTGAATTCACTACATAATAGCTTTTGTGTTTCAGTACTATGTCGTACCTCTTCAGGCGAATGGTAAATGACTGGTTATTAAATAATTTTTTTAAAATTTCAAAAGCAAAGTGTTACCTTTTTTCCGAAAGATAAAGGGGTGGGTAAGAAAACACATTGTCAATACTGCGCTTAAGTTCATACTCTCTATGTACCATAGAAGAAAAATTCATCAGAACAATTACCATAAAAAGTATTTATAGAAAAGGTAGAGGCAATCTATGTTATGGCAGTGAGAAAGTGACTGAACACAATGATACAAGTAGGGTTATGGTTGCTTTATTTTCCCCTCCAATGGTATTGGAGCATGACATACCATTGAAGGAATATTAGGTATGTATTATGTGAAATAATAGACAACATACTTTCATCTGTGAAAATTCTCAAACTATTGACATTTTAGCAAGATAATATCATGTAGTGATAGTAAAAGTATGGTTGCACATAAAGGCAATAAGTTTTTCAGTGAAATACCCAACATTCAGTCTCTACTTTGTATATGTGTGCATATTGTATGAGTGTGTGTGTATATGTATATATATATATATATATATATATATATATATATACACACACACAGATAACATTTTAATGAACTAGTTTTTCTTTTAAATACCTGAAAAATTAAGAAATATGAAAAGAGAAAAAAATTCAACTTCTCTCACTTACTGTCATTGTCGTGAACAATCTGAAAATTTTTCACTGATGCTTGTGTCACTCGTCCATGAAAATTCAAAACATACGACTGAGTTTCTGTTCAGAGAGGAAAAAGAAGAAATAGTAAAAGTAAAATAAAAGAGATAAAAAAAAATAAATAAATAAAATGAATTTTTTTTTTCTCCCAAACAAGTTTAGAAATCTTCAACCATTATTTCCTCTATTAATATTTACAGATTTATTTTTATTTAACACTAGCTTAAAATCCACACTGTGTGGACTTTTAAGCTCGTTAGACCAAAAACTAAATTGACCTCTGGTCTACTTTAGAAACCAGAAATGATAATTTTGAAGAAATAACTTTGAATTCCTCAATTGACTCTATGGAACTTCAAAACCTCACTTTAACATGGATTCAGATTATAATTTCAATTCCAGCCAAGAGACCAATTAGACTGAAATTTCAATTCAGGCTGAAAATTTAGTTCTTCAAATCACAAACTTTTCAGAAATTCAAAGTCTTATGTCACAAAACTTCTCACTTTGATTCCTTGGCATTTTGAAGAAATAAAATTGATTTCCTCAATTCACAGTCTTGGAGATATTTTAATCTGAATTTAAAACAAAAAAATTTTTAAATTCACAAAGTTCTTATGTTACTTTAAACTCAACATAAATTAAAAACTTTTAAAATCATTAATTTTTTCAGTTGTTTTAAAATTAGAATTTTTAATTGTTCCCTCCTCATCTGGGCACAAATGCTGAATGTTCAATCACTCGATAAAGGACAGATTTTTAATCCCGGATTATCCTGATTCCCAAAAGGTAGAATATGTTTACTTCAGGAACATGGACAGGAAGAATTTGCTGTTTATTTATTTAGAAATCTTTGAATGATAAAGTTTTTCAGCCTTCTCCATTTTTAATTGACTTTTGCCAACACTTGATTGATTTTGAGTTTTTGTCCTTGGAGAGAAAAACTTAAATGAAATTTGATACATGAACTTAAATCATGGCACCTGAAAGGTCACTCACTTAGGTCAAGCTTGAACATCTGTTCGCTGTCGATGCCCTGAGGGTCTTACCAAACGGGGTCTTTCAGGACTGCTGGACAAGGCCATATCCATTAAACACTTAATGAGGATTGTGTTCACTCTTGTGAAACCAACACTCACACCTTTGCATGACCACAAGCTGTTGCTGAGAAGTCTTCAAATAAGACACAAGGGAGATAAATCATGGGTAAATTTACATTTTTACTTATTTTCCAATACTAATTCCTATATTTCAATGAAAAGCAGGAATGCTAAAAGTGAAGAGATTTTGTTTACCTTCATTCCACACGGGCGTCTTGTTATGTAGCTCTAACATATTATCCATATTTTTCCGTTTCCATCGTTCTATGAGCCCATCGTGATCCTTAAATCAGTAAAAAATATGAATTTATTCTTTTCAGTGACCAACACAGCACAATTAGACTGAAAAATATATATTTTTTAAAAATAGATTCTATGTTTGTTTCACATGAAGTTACCAATAATGAACAGAATACAGATACTTTGTTTATTTGTTTTTTTTTTATTTCATAAAGATCTATATCATTTGATTTTATGATCATCTCCCAATGGATTTGTAATAGAATTCTGTTATCTTTGTCAAACTATTTTGTGGGCTATAAGGTATGGATTTAGTTCATACTTATTCTCAAACATAATGCCTTGCAAACGACTGTATTGAAGCTGAGGCACTTAGGAGATGAGGGGTTAGTCTTTACTTGCCTGTCCCTTCCCCCAGTTTAACTATCATTTTTTTACAAATATTTTAAGCTTTTCATCTGAAATAAAAGAGTCAACAATCAGAAAGCAGTTATTTGAAGATTTCCAAAAGAGTTTTATTAGAAATTTGACAATTTTATGATGAATCCATTTTGGAACAGTAATAAAATTAAACAAAGCAAATTTGTTACTTATTATTTGCAAACCAATTATTGTCTTCATCTTTGTTGTTGTCATCAGAACATTTTGGCAGTTGTACCCTCCAGACTTCATCAGGTAAATGCCAATCTGGGTAACCTACAGGAATTTTGAAATGAATCATTTATTTAATCTACGGTGTTAGACTGTTCTCATTTAACTGCCCAATGATGATGGATATCTTGTCTATTCCTTATTCTAGTACTGTTCAATTATTGCTCACCTTGTTTTCACTATGTTCAAGTATAGTGCCCAGCCCAGGGATTGAACTCACAATTACTAAATTAACAAATCATACTTTAATCTACTAGGCTATTGTCCTATGGAAGAAATTGGGTGTAAAAAACTAATATATAACATTTAAAAATGCCTTATCAGTCACTCCATATAAAACAACTTAAAAAAAAGACAAATATGAAACAAAAACAAAACAAAAAAAAGAATTTATGAAGAGATGCTGAAAACTTCTTGGTCCAAACTACACTATACAGAAATCAGTATTCTGTGGTTTGGTCATTAAAATAAAGATTCTGGGAAGTCTGTGCGGCTAAGAACATTTAGACACACAACCATTATATATATATATATATATATATATATATATATATATATAATAAAGGTACCAAATCCATTGGTATATAATGCAAGTGGATCCTAATAATATGAAATATTAAAACTGTAAGCTTATTTCGACAGATGAAAATATTTTTATGTGTGTGTATGTTCACATATGAACTGGGATCAAATATGGATTTGACTACTTACGGTCTACTTAACTAATATAAAACAAACAACACGAAAATATACCAGAAATTTCTTGTCTCTTCCATATTTAATTTCTGATGAAGCTTAAAATTAGGTTTCATCAAATGAAATATGAAAGAGACCAGAAATTTCTGGTATATATATATATATATATATATATACATACATATATATATATATATATATATATATATATATATATATATATATATACACACTGAGTGCGGTTTTAATAAAATAGTGCTCAATGAAATATAACAGAGCTATAAATTATATATTAATAAATATACATTTTTTTTTCCTCACCAGTAGCACAACTTGGAGTTTTATGCACAACACAATCTTTAGGTACTAAACTGAGACTAACCGTTACATAATTTAAATCAACAAGAAATATTTTGAATGTGCGCATATATTTATATAACAGCCTACACATAATTAGATATAAGCTAATTAATTCAAGTTAGTTAAAATACACTCTTAGACAAAATAAAAAGTTGAAAACACATTGACACAAATTACATATTTAGCATTACAAACATAGAACTATAAATTAAAATATAAATAAACACCTATCGGTAAATAAAACAGATCTTAATCTAACATGTTTCACTTTATTAAAGCTTCGTCAGAGGTCAAGATAGAAATGATAAAAAGTGATAAAAAATAAAAAGATGTAGAATAATTGTACGTTATATTTGGCTATTACTTATTGCTTAGATATGTGTCACATGTAATGAAGTAACAGATAATATTCATATATATGCAGCAAACATTCTCAACTCAGTAAATTTGAATATTATCAAAAAGAAGAAGTGAAAATATGAAGCTAATAGACAGTCATTGCTTTTTCATATTTCTGACATACAGATGATAAATTACAAAGATGAAAAACCAACAAGATATTGTAAAAGGCTTTCAGTTGCCCCAATGTTCTTATTCTTTTATGCACCATGTTGCTTCAGCATGTGAGCAATCATAGCTGTCTACGAATTATATATTTTTGTAGCTCTGAGAAATGTTTGTGCTTTTACTATCTCTTGTTCTGCCATTAATTTACACAAACTTGTTAGGTTATTAGACTGCTTCCAATTGCCCTTCTTGTCTTCAAGATATCGTGTGTGTCTCAAATTCTTCAAGCTTTCTTTCCCCGTTATTTGTCCAAGAAATTTCAACTCTGATTCAAAGTTTAAGTGTTACCTTCATTTCCATTTCCCTTAAAACTTCCTTGTTATTCACCTGTTCAGTCTAAGGTATTCTCAACATCTTCCTGTAGAAGCACATCACTGTTGCTTCAAGTCACTTCACCCGTGAAGAAATTAACCAGCATTCACAGCCATATAAGAAGTTTAATATAGCATAACAGTTCAGCACTCATTTCTTTGCATTTAATGAAATTTTTGCTTCTTTATACTTTGCTTAGCTTTTTGAAGGCATCTTTAACTATTAAAATACACCTTCAGATTCTGTGTCACATTTTCCCTTGTCTGTTAAAACTCTACCCAGATAGTTAAATTTCTGTATGTGCTTTGCATTTATTATAAACAAGAATTCTGTATTTACACTATTTACATCGTTTAGACTGTTGTCCTCATCTTTATTGCCATATTCATAGTTACAATACTTCATCTCAGAAATTCAGACAGGTGTTGAAGAATTCTGCAGGTACAAAAGTTGAGAAAAACAATTAACCTATAAAATAATATAGTGGAGGATAGGGGAAGGCAGAGTCTAAGAAACTAGTGCTTGAGGCCAATCACCATGGTTTCTATGAATTAGGATTTCATACAACATTGCTAGACAAAGAACAAGATAAAGAATAAATGTCCAGGGATTGTGAAAATTTTCCATTTTACTTGAGATTTTAATTTGAAATTTGAAATAATTCCAATTGAAATGACTTACATCACATGGAATTACTTCCACTCTGTCATGGCTCAGGTTCATTCCAGGAATGATTACAGTCATTTTACGGGGACCCTTGAAACCAAGAACATTTGTGTCCTAAATGAATGGAAAGAGAAAGAGTAATGTTAGGTTTCTGCCTTCTTCTAAACAAGAACAAATCTGACCAGAAAAGGAAAAAAACAATAAAAAGGTATTAGAAAATTAATTTTATAAAAGAGGATATTCAACCAGGAGATTTTTACTTTTAGTTTTTGTTTTAAATAATTCCTATAATCAATTTTAACTTGATGATCTTCTCTTCTTTCCCAGTCTCCACACAAGAAAAGTGGAGCTGGTAGAAAATATCTTTTCAAAAGACTTTTCAAAATATCATATGAAGTTAAATATTTTAAAAAATTCCAAGTTTATTTTGTTTGAAATTCCAGTAAAAGACTAAGGACAGGCACAATTTGACAGTCCTGTATGAGGGTGCAACAGTTGGTCCTTTGCTGCACAGAGTCACAACATCTGGTCCTTTGCTGCACCGAGTCACAACATCTAGTCCTTTGCTGCATCAGGTCCAAACATCTAGTCATTTGCTGCACTGAAGTGCAATGTGTCATGTTGCAAAAAAAAAGTTTGTTTTTGCAGTGAGGTGCAATGCCTACTTCTTTGCCGCACTGATGTACAACATTTAGTACTTTGCTATATCAAGGTGCAATGCCTACATCACTGAACTATTGATTGCAATGTTTAAGAAAAACCAAAGCATCTATGAATTCAATATTATCTCATGGGTTTCTTTACTGGATTCAGAACAGTTTTTGTTTATCTTTCAAGGTATTGAAAAAATAATGAAAAAGAAATAACTGCCTGTAATCTGATGATCAACAGCCAGTATTTCTAAAGGTCTACAAAAATGGAAGCAATCCATTGTGATCTGATTTTCAATTTTCAGTCATTTAGGATTCCAAGTTTTATGACAACAGAGTCGAAAGCAAGGTCAAGAAAACAATTATATAATGGCTTCCCTTACACATTGTTTTCAGGGAAATTTATAATTAGAAATTCATCTGGATCTCCAGATAGACTGACATCAATGAGATTGGAAAGATAACCTTTTAGGCTCTTTACTTTTGAAAGCTGTTTTTAAACAAGATTTCAACTGCTTAATTCTCCATCATTCAACACCTTTTTTTTTTTTTTTTTTTTTTTTTACACATGAACATCTAGTTGGGCACCTCAGCATGGTGTAATGGTAAGCAAGCTTGTCTTGCTAGATCAATTATGACTGAAAAGTGAGTTCAATCCTCACTAGGTGCTCCATACTTTCGGCCTTGTGCCACATATAAGCTATGCTTAAAAAATAACCATATTTATTGGACACTTTGGCATGGTGTAATGGTTAGCAAGCTTGTCTCGCTAGATTAGTTATGAGTGAAAAGTGAGTTCGATCATCACTAGGTGCTCCGTACTTTCAGCCTTGTGCCACATCTAAGCTATGCTTAGAAAATAATCACATGAATATCTGTTTACATTGTTTCCATGGAAACCAAACATAATAAAAATCGCTGACAAATGTATTGTCATCAATGGAAAGTGATTGTTTTGATTGATTACTTTTCTATCAACCCTTTGCAGGTTATTTCAAGACAGAAAATATTTTTAGATTGTAAACATTTCTTTTAAACATCTGTTTAGTGATACAGCTCTTACTAATTAACCCATAGCTGAGGAGAGAAGACATGGATTCATGCCTTTCCCCCATGTGTATTTGCATGTAAGTAAATATAATGAATGCAACAGGAATTGAAACATGGCTTTTCAATAAACAATTCCAGGCCATTATCCATCACACCACCCACACATCCAAGCTTACAGCACCTGTTATTCCCAAACAGTCACCCATCTAGGTACTGACCAGGATCAACATTGCTTGACTTTGGTGATCATATGAGAACCAGTGTTTCAATGTGATGTTTCTGAAGTCTCATCAACGGAAAGTGTGCTGCCAGAGTTCAAGACATTATTGGAACTAAATTCACATATTTTTTTTGTTCCAAAATCATCAAGAATGACCAAGAATGGCAGTTCATTCATAAGTCTATGACTAATTGTCACGGTGCTGAAATTTAATCATCTCCTAATGAAAAACGGCCACTCCTAAAAATTGCTTGGGTTGATTCAATAGCACATGCTCCAGTTTGGCCAGTTGTTATTAACAGATTTGGTTGTAAGCAAACGCGTATTTGGCCAGGAAGATCTGGATGAAAACGCTTAAATCTAAAAGGAAAAAAACACATTAAAATTATGAAAATCTGATTAAAATATCAGATCTAATCAGCTGCTTATATAGTATTATTTTTTTATTTGATACAATTTTTTACTTAAAGAAGCAGCTAACAACAAAGCAAAATTTAACAATTAACATACGTATACAATGCCCACTAACTCCCTCCGAGCGACTCCAGTTTGTTCAGGGTTTGAGATGCCAACAGATTTTCTGGGATTTGTGCCTTTGTCGTATAATGTGAACTGAGTCCCCAATAAATTGGACCTGAAACAATAAATTAAAAAAAAAAAAAAACTTCTTCAATGTCTTTGAAAAAAAAATAATAATCCAACGATAAAATTAAGTGAATCAAGTTAGTTCAAAAGAATGATATTCACAATTTTCAGGGAGCCAAAAATTCACTGAAATTATTCAGAAAAAATTTTCTAATAAAGGCTGTTTCCCAGCAATTAAATACAGATTCTGCTAATTTCATATCTTTATTTCTAAGAATAAGATCAGGATATTAATCTGAATAATTCATGAAAGAAAAAAAATAATTCAGAAAAATTTTTTTTACAAGAATTGTTTTCATTTTGTTTTTAATTATAATAATTGATAAAGTTTCAAAAATGTTTAAAAAATTCTTCCAAACTTCATCCTCATTAAGTTATTAAGTGAAAACTATATTTAATAAGTTTGGTTTGGTTTATTTTGTTTTCCGTCATATCAACCTCAATGGGTTATTTAATGCCAACAAATTTTTTTATTGCTGGTAATATTTTGTTTTGTCAAAAATCTATTTCTGGTAATATTTTTCCTTCAAAATTGTATTGCTGGTAATAATTTTTTCAAAAAACTATTGCTGGTAATAGTTAACGATTTGCCCATAGCTGGGACCCTAACAGGTGCCACCACCCCAGGTCAGGGTGGACCTGGGAACACCAGCAATTAAGAGGTGGTTTCATGCTCCTCAAAACCTCCTGATCAGAGGCCTTGCTGTTGGACATAGTTTAACATTTTGCCCAGGATGAATATTTAATAAGTGATTATTGAAAAGCTTAATACAAATCAATGCACATATTTTTAAAATAATTTTTTTTTTTTTATGTGTAACATGTTGATTTTGAAAGTATGGGTGACCATACACGACATTATCAGAAAATAAGATTGATCATGTTAGTAAATTTAAAGTAAATATTCCTAAATTTACATTAGGAAGAATACTTCCAACATTTTTAAGATTATTGAGTATTTAAAAATTATATAAAAAAGCATAAAGATAAGGTCACCATAGTACAATAATAAAAGTGTCAACACCTTGTAAATCACTTAAGTGATTTACAAGGTGTTGACAAGCACTTAATTGCGCGACTGTTCGTTTTAAAAGTCCATTTCTGTTATTTTCAACTTAAAGTAAATAATATTTGTTTTAAATCAGATTAATTATACTTTGAATCAGCTAATATTCCTGAAATAAAATTTCAGAAAAGTATATTTTATTTTGGGGGGATTTTTTAATAAAGAAAAATTCATTATGATGACAGATGGCCAAAAAAGGGCACTAATCAGCTATTTTTAGTCCCCCAAAATGAATTGACTCCAATCAATAGAATTTCTGTTTGGAATACACTACAAAGCATTTTGCTTACTGGAAATAGTAAATTTAATCCTTTAGCTTTTTGATTAAATCTAAAATAAAAGCTTCAGAAAGATTTTTCATTTATGAAAATTCATTTAAACCTAAGGTGCACTGAATTATTGGAGGTACCTATTTTAATATGACACATCTCAGGGATATAGTTTTGATACGACACATCTCAGGGATATAGTTTTGATACGCCTCAGCTCAGGGATATAGTTTTGATATGACTCATCTCAGGGATATAGTTTTGATATGACTCATCTCAGGGATATAGTTTTGATATGACTCATCTCAGGGATATAATTTTGATATGATTCATCTCAGGGATATAGTTTTGATATGACTCATCTCAGGGATATATACTGCCTATAACAATTACATTAATTCTTGACCACTGGTTAAAAAGCTGTTTGATTAGTAATATCATTGCTTAAGATTTTAGCCTAAAATCAGAACTTGATGCATCATTTTATTTAATCTAGAAAGTGAATGAAATCAGTTTCATAACTCCTACCCATGATATCAGGAATTACATCAACAATAAGTATAATTATAACAGTCTAATATTGGAGTCAAAAGCTGATATATTAACTTATTTTATTTAAAAAGTAACTCTATATAAACTATTCATAATTTTTTTCTCAAGTAATTCATATTGACAATTTCTGAGGTTCTTAGAGAAATTAACTGCACTTATGCTAATTGTTTAATTACAAATCCATCTTGGATATTACATTGCCAAATAAATCTCTCAAAAAAAAAAAAGTCACTGATCAGTTAGAAATACATTTAAGAAAGCATTTTATTAGGTATTTCTTCATTTCATAGTAGAAAAAAATAAAAAATAAAAAAAGAGAAAAGAAAGTGAATCTAAGTGAAAAGATGAACAGAAATTCAAAATCTGATTTACAGAAAAATGCTTAAATTATTTAAATAATTTTGTTAGGAAAAGAAAAATTGATGATCTTAAAAAACAAAACAACAACAAAAAAAAAAAAACAATACAGCTATGCTGGCTGAGGAAATCTTTTAAAGAAAGTTAGAGTTGCTCACCTAAGTTTGCCAATGTATGCTTCCCCTCCTCGGGATAAATCTGTGGGGTCTGTCGAAATGAGATAGTTGGATGTTGTGCTTTTTTTTCTCTTCCTTCCAGCAAGGAGAAACTGCTGAGAATGCAAATTGGAACAAAATTAAGAATAAAATAAAAAAAAATATTGCAAGAGGTTCCAAATAAAAATAACAAGGAATAAATTCTGTTTATATTTAGAAGCTTTCCTTAATCTGACACAAGGCCCCAAAATTAATCCCAGTAGGTGGTTTTGCAAAGTTGTCACCTAACTAAATAATATCATGCAAAATGTATGTCAGTAGTTTATTTCATTTGTTATGACTCTCTTACTAAGTGCCATCTCTCATTCACACACACACACACACACACACACACACACACACTTTTGGCTGTTCTGTTCGTGATCATCCTACCCTATACTGTGATTACTGCAGACTACATCGTTAACATCTACAAAGTCAATGCTTAGACTCAACTATAAACAATCAATATTTTCTCTATCCTCAGGCCAGGTAAATGCTTACAAATATGAAATTTAAAAATAAAAAGGCTGATTTCAATGTTAAATAACAAGACAAGGGTTGACATTAGATAAAAAAAAAAAAAAAAAAAAAATTATACCTAAGTTTCAAAATGCCTTTTTTAAGGATTTCATTTTAGTTTTAATTCCAAGGTAATAGATTAAACTTAATTTTCCCAATAAGCAAAATACTTTGCTGTATTTCCAACCGAATTTGAATTGATTGGAATGATTTTTTTTTCATTAAAATCATGAAAATCAAACATATTGACAAATCTGTCAACACAACACAATTCGCTTTATTAAAAAATCTTTCTAGATTAATATATACTTTTTCTGAAACTTTATTTGAGGAAGATTAGCAGATTTAAAGTTTAATTAATCTGAATCAAAACAAATATTAATTACTTTTAGTTTAAAATATTGTGGAGGTGTGGTGTTTTTATGATGCTTTCACACATCTATCGATAACCTGATGTTTGCAAGATTTATGGAAGGAGGAAATAATTGTAGTAAAATTACATGACAAATAAAATGACAATGCCTTTTTTTTAAAATATTTTTTTAAATATCCAATAATCTTAAAAAAATTTAAGTATTTTAAACATTCTAATATTTTATAAGCTTTTCCATTTATAATTTATAAATATAGTTTTTGTTTTAAAAAACAATATCACTTGACTGCTAAAACTTAATAGAGAGACTTAAAAGTTTATAAATTATTCTAATTGAAACTTTAAAAAAATTCTTTTTCTGACAATAATATATGACCATTATTCTTTTTCAGACAATAATATATTACCATAATATATTTTATTCATAAAAGTAATTAAAAGCTTTTCCTCATTAAATGATGTCTTAATTTTATTACATTTGTTCTTATTAAAGATTCAAAGCAAATTTTCTGTAACTGGGGGTTGTATTTAATCAAAATAATTTGATGATTTTAAACTCACCTAGGACATGTGCTTATAACTAATAGAAGCATTAAGTGCTATAAAAAGAATTTTTTGAAATCTCATAAAATTAAATTAGTGTGGGGGTAACAAATGTAAAAAAAAGAAAATAATTTTACTCAGATTTTCTAAAAAAGAAATGTTTAAAAGAAAATTAATTCATTTCTGGATAAGTCATAGAAGTTTCACTGAAATCCAACAATTACTTCATTTTTGCAAGAATTTCCAAATTAATGCATTTTTCATTAGAAAATGATGCTTAAATTTCCTGTGCTAATTTATGACACCACGTTGATGCCAGAAAAACAAGATTTTTAACCAAAATTTTGAAGGTTCTAAAAAGGATTAAAAAATAATTTTTACATTACCAAACAAAATTTTTTGTCTTTCCACTTAAACACAGAGTTTGATGCTAAAAATTTTTTTTATATAAAGTTTGGCTTTTTTCATAATATATACAAATTTTTTAGTGAAACTTTGGAGGCACCTAGTAGACATGTAATAAAATTAATGAAATGAAACAACATTTCTGGAGCTCAGCTAAAAAATTTATATATAGGGCAACTCTATTTTATCCAACTCATTATCCTGTAAGTTTATCAAATATACAAAAATGAATGATTATTAGAAAGAAGAAAAGGTGAATCAACAAGAAGAAAAACAAGAATGATTGTAGAAAATGGAGAAGAAAGGACTAAGAATCAGCCAAGAAGACTTGCTTAATTGTTATCTAGAATCAGCTACAGGAAGAAAAGAATGAATGATTGTTGAATGCAAAAGGAGAAGAAAAAGGACTAAGAATCAGCTACAAGAAGAAAGAATGAATGATTGTTGGGAAAAGGAGAAGAAAGGACAAGAATCAGCTACAAGGAAGAAAAAGAATGAATGTTAGGGAAAAGGAGAAGAAAGGACTAAGAATCACAAGAAGAAAAAGAATGAATGATTGTTCAGACTGAATGAATGATTGTTAGGAAAGGAGAAGAAAGGACTAAGAATTACAAGGAAGAAAGAATGAAAAGGGAGAAGAAAGGACTAAGAATCAGCTACAAGAAGAAAAGAATGAATGATTGTTAGGAAAAGGACAGGGAAGAAAAGGATGAATGATTGTTAAGAATCAGCTAATCAGCTACAAGAAGAAAGAATGAATGATTGTTAGGAAAAGGAGAAGAAAGGACTAAGAATCAGCTACAGGAAGAAAGAATGAATGATTGTTAGGAAAAGGAGAAGAAAGGACTAATAATCAGCTACAGGAAGAAAGAATGAATGATTGTTAGGAAAAGGAGAAGAAAGGACTAATAAAGGACTAAGGAATCAGCTACAGGAAGAAAAGAATGAATGATTGTTAGGAAAAGGAGACTAAAAAGAAAGGATACTACAGGAAGAAAGAATGAATGATTGTTAGAAAAAGGGAAAAGAAAAGGACTAATAAGAATCAGCTACAGGGAAAGAATGAATGATTAGGAAAAGGAGAAGAAAGGACTAATAATCAGCTACAGGAAGAAAAAGAAATGAATGATTGTTAGGTTAAAAGGAGAGAAAAGGACTAAGAATCAGCTACAGGAAGAAAGAAATGAATGATTGTTAGGAAAAGGAGAAGAAAGGGAAAAGGAGAAAGGACTATTTAGGGAAAAGGAGAAGAAAGGACTAATAATCAGCTACAGGGAGAAAGAAGAATAAAAAGGAGAAGAAAGGACTAAGAATCAGCTACAGGAAGAAAGAATGAATGATTGTTAGGAAAAGGAGAAGAAAGGACTAATAATCAGCTACAGGGAGAAAGAATGAATGATTGTTAGGAAAAGGAGAAGAAAGGACTAATAATCAGCTACAAGAAGAAAGAATGCATGATTGTTAGCAAAAGGAGAAGAAAGGACTAAGAATCAGCTACAGGAAGAAAGAATGAATGATTGTTAGACTATTAATCAAAAGGAGAAGAATGAAAGGACTAAGAATCAGCTACAGGAAGAAAAGAATGAATGATTGTTAGAAAAAGGAAAAAGAAATAATCAGCTACAGGAAGAAAGAATAGCAAAGGAGAAGAAAGGTTAAGAATCATTACAGGAAGAAAGAATGAAATGATTGTTAGGAAAAGGAGAAGAAAGGACTAATAATCAGCTACAGGAAGAAAGAATGAATGATTGTTAGAAAAAGGAGAAGAAAGGACTAAGAATCAGCTACAGGAAGAAAGAATGAATGATTGTTAGAAAAGGCAAAAGGATAAGAATCAGCTACAAGAAAGAATGCAAATTAGGAAAAGGCAAATCAGATACACCAAGATCAAACAAACAGAAAAATTTAAATATCAGGAAGAAAGAATGAATGATTTTAGGAAAAAAAAGGATTGTAAGATTGTTGACATTGAAATCTGAAGAATGATTTTTTGAGATAATAATCAAAGATGAATGATTCTAAAAAGCTAAGAAAGAATTTTTGTTAGCAAAAGGAGAAAAAACTTCAGCTACAGGAAGAAAAAGAATGAATGATTGTTAGGAAGGAGAAGAAAGGACTAATAAAACAAGGAATGAATGATTGTTAGGGAAAAAAAGAAAGGACTAATAATCAGCTACAACAGAAAAATTGATTGCGTGATATCTGTTCTCCTCTATGAAAGTGAGTACTGAAAACAATAATCCTCAAGAAGAAAAGAATGAAACTTGAAAACTAATAATCAACAGGGAGAAAGAATATGATTGGCTAATGCAGGAAAAGGATTTTGAGGATATCATGGACCAAACATGATTGTTAGCAACAACAAGATTTTAGGAAAAGGATAAAATGGAAACAGGAAGAAAAAGAAAACTTAAACTAATAACATCAGGGAGAAAGAGACAGTTAGGAAAAGGAGAAGAAAGGAAATTCCTAGAAAAGCACATAAGGAGGAAAGGACTAACAGCTTGGAAGAAAGAAAATCTGAAGGACTAATAATCACAAATCAGATTGAAGGACTAATAATCAGCTACAGGAAGAAAGAAAGTCCAAAGGTATACAGGAAGAAAAGAATGAATAGTTGAAAGGCTTAATCAGCTACAGGAAGAAAAAATGTGATCAGCAAAAGGAGAAGAAAAAAGGACTAATAATCAAAATGATTGTTAGGAAAAGGAGAAGAAAGGAGAACCAGGGGTTTAGGAAAGGAAATAACAGAAAAAAAATGCATGATTGTTAGCAAAAAAGGAGAAGAAAAGCTACAAAGGACATGATTGTTAGGAAAAATTGACTAATAATGAAGAAAGACAATGATTGCCTAATGCCCTGATGATTGGGAGAAAAGGACTAATAAACACATAAAGAAAAGTATACATAAGGGTTCTCTATAATATTTTTAGGGTAATATACAAGATTACTGTTTTACTGAAATCATGTCCATAATAATCAACAACATCAGATTTTATAAATTTAAACTGACTTTCTCGACTTTAAATAATTTGCCACAAAATAATTAAACAGATCATGGGGTTTAATATAGAAAATTTAAATATCTTGTAAGTGTGTTATCAGTCTTAATGGGTGAATTAAGAGAAGATAGAAATATTTTCCCAGTTTGTATTTTTCCATCATTATGGCCATTATTAAAATTCATGATATAACACCACCTTATTACATCGACAGAATAGAATAGCTGAAAAGGAATGACAAACATGCTTTTTTTTTATACTGCCTGGTCATAGACAAAATTATATACATATGTCACATACAGAGAAAATATACTCCACATGCAACAACAAGCAGAGCAAGAAGGGGACAAAAAAAGAGAGAGTTTTAATCATTTTCATCAGTAACTGGAGCTTTTGGTGATTCTTCTGTCTCTGGGAAAGTTATATTTAAGATTCCAGATCCTGACAAGCCACTCTATGAAGAGACATCACTAAGCAGTCAACACATGACCAACGTGACTTAATCTCAACCAAAGGGAGATAATCACCTTTTGTATCACTACACAGAAATCCGCAGAGAAGTATTAATCCAATTGACATCTTCATGATTCCCTTTCAATCTTTCGTTGAATACTTGCATGGCAGATTAGAATTTTTCACTGACAACCTTCGTAAAATTTCTTTTTATTCAATGAATTGTTGTCCATAAAGCACACCATGAAAATGTTCAGTTCATTTGGTTTATTAAAGAAAATGTCTGTTATAAGAAACAAATCTAAAGACAAGGGTCTAAAAATGCTGGGATAATATTAATCAACAAATTTGGCTTTCTCTAGTGTTTTCGTTTTGTAAGAGCGAATCATAATCATTTGAAAAAAAATTGAAACCAGACTATCATTATGACTATAAAACACACAAAGAAAATTTTGTAGATCCTTGAGAAAAGAAAAGAAAAACTTGTTAACTTTATAATATCTTTAACAAGTTAAACTGCTGAAATTGATTATTTTTATATTTAATTCAGTGGATCTGATATAAATGAACCAAAAAACCCTGAAAATGACAGAATGAAGAAAACATTACCAGAAAGAGTTTCAAGGTAATTTTATACATGATTAGATTTGTGGGGGCATGTCTCATTTTTAAGCATTTAGTAATAAAAAGAAAAGGTAAAACTGAAAACGATCATGAATCCCAATTCATGGCTGATGTCAACTGCATTTTTTTTCTTAAAACACTTAACTATGAATGTTTGTCTAGAGAGACAAGGCTACTTTGGAGATTTTCATGAAAAAAAGAAAACAAAATATTTTCTGATTTCCTAACACGTATTAAAATATTTGGTTTTTGTCAAAGAAATTATACCGACAGACATTCATATAGAAAGTGTAAAAAAAACCATATATAAAAAACAAAAGTATACACATTTATTTCCTACGTTTTTCAGGATGTTGATATCCAAACACAAAATAAAGAGAAAAATTGAAATCATTTAAACATTTTTCAATTATCTGGACTAAACCCATTCTAATATTTTATGTCAGACAAGTGCTTAGAGAATTTAGAAAACCGTACTGAACAATTGATAAAAATGCTGATAAAATCAGGTCGATTAATTTCTTTGTTGTTTTCATACATTTCAACTATCACAGCTTCATCATGTGAGAGATTACGGCCAACTGATACAAATGTTAGATGCACTTGACACACAAGCCATGATTATATTTGACAAATGTTGAAGTATATTGCACTTTCAATGAGAAGTTATCCCCTTAAAAAGACATTGACTTTAATCATTCTTTGTGAGTTAGCAACAAAAAAAAATGTGAGGCCAGCTGTAAACACAAAATTTTTTTTCATAAAGCATAAATGGGACAAAATCTTGAATATTGCTTTTAAAAATGTTAAATTTTTTTAAGGAAATTATTTTATTTATAATCTTTGTTGATAATTTAGATATTTACTTTTCCAGATTTTCAAATAACCAAACATATTTTTGTAGTTATCTCCCAAGATTCTCTAAAAAGTGAGCAGACATAATGAAAAAAATGCCCAAAACTTAATAAAAACAAAGTTTTATCATCAAAATATTATTATGAAGAGGAATTTTTAATTATTAAATTATATTTTTTGTCCTTTTTAGAACCTTCAAAATTTTGGTTAAAAATTTAATTTCTCTTTCATCAATGGGTCACCATAAATTAGTATAGGAAATTTTAGCATCTTTTTGAAGTGAAAAACAAACTGATTTGGAAATCAAATAAATTGTCCAATTTTAATTAAACTTTCAGGAATTATTCACAAATGAATTAAACTCTTTTAGAAACATTTTGGTAAATTTTCTTCTTTTTTTTTTTTATTATACATCTGTTACTCATTACTTATTTAATTTTATGAAATTTTAAGAAATTCTTTTTAGTAGGATTTAATGTTTATATTAGTCATAAGAAGAAGTCTTTGGAGAATTTAAATCATCAATTGTTTTTTTTTTTCTAAAACAGTCTCCGAGTTACTGAAAATCTGCTATGAATTATAAAATATAAACAGCATCACTTTTCTTTGGAGGTACCAATATTTTTGCAATTGCTGTCACAAGGTGTCCGGATAATTGAGGAAATAGTGTAATTTTAAATCTATGTCCATAAACTAGAAAATTATCAATATATTTAGAATAGGGATCTTAGTCCAGAAAACTAAAATATTACAGATACTCATCGTTCCACAGAAAAACAATTGATGATTTAATTCTCCAAAGACTTCTGCCTATAACTAATATAAACATTAAATCCTACAAAAAAGAATTTTTCAAAATTTCATAAAATTAAATAAGTAATGAGTAACAGATATATATATAAAAAAAAAAGAAAATTTACCAAGATGTTTCTAAAAGAGTTTAACTCATTTGTGAATAAACCACAGAAGAGAAAGAAAATAAGATAAGGATATTAGTCCAAAGAAACTTTCAAGCATAAAAATTTAGGCAAATAAAACATTGATACTTACTTTCTTACCATCTTCTCTTTCCATGTGCAGATAATATGTGGGATAGACGCTACGGTCAACACCGCGTTTGTCTCTTGTTATACGGCATTTAACAATAGTTCCTTGCATGGCAGGTTTCAGCACAAATTCATCCAAACTCTCCCGAGTGTCCAAAGACAACATCCCATGTAATTCCTACAGGAAAAAAAAAAAAAACAAAAAAAAAAAACAGATGACACAAGGCCAACAAAAATGGATAGACAAAACATGTTGAATTTAAAATATGTTAAATTCTGAAAAATACTAAGAATAACTGTAAAAAGAAAATATAATGTTATAAACAATCAAAGGAAGAATTTCTGAAAATAACAGATTTGGGGTGGGGGAAAGAATTATCTATCATATAAACCTCAATGTAACTTTATATATTTATTGGTCATGTGACCTGATCTTAATACATAGCAATGAGATATTACAATGTTATGGAAACAGTAAGTATTACTTGACACCAATAAGTGAATATTTCATTAGTAAGTTGGTAGAGATGAGAGGTTTTTATAATCATTTTCTTTATAGATTTATGTTCCAAAGAAAATAAAATGCAATGGATTAAAAGGCAGAATTATACTTTACATGAAAAATAGAATTGTATAAAAAATATCCGAGATTACTTGTATAGAAAATTAATGCATTTTCAAAATTACTTAAATTATACAATCGAAAAAATGGTGGCCAGGTCCCAAGATTAATGATTAAACTTTAATCTTTGGTACCTTCTGTAATTTTTTTGACATGGTATTATCCCTTCAAAAATTTATTAATGGTTTTAATAATGCCATATTTCAGATGATCCATTTTTAAGAAACGCTGCTTGGCAAAAAAGAAAAACTTGTCCTAATTCCATAAGAATTACACACTTCAAAAAGTATTTAAAAACAAAAAGAAACATGGATCTGAAGAAAATATGGTAGCAAGAAAGACAAAAAATTATTAATTATGTCATAAATTGATTAATCTTTCTTTGGAGTTCAATTCTTTCAGTGTCACTTGACAAATGGAAGAATAACATACCCCACTCCCTACCTCACCAGAAACACAATAACAGACTAAAGAATGACTGGAAATATTTAATAAAAAGAAAAAACTAACCTCCTGGCAACAGTATGCATTGTTAGTTCATGAATGAAGGTGTCCTCAGCAAACAGGATTTAGTAACAATATATAGTTCCCACCTTGTATTAGAGAAAGTTAATCATTACAGCTGAAAGGAAGGGTTCTACAAGCTTATTAAATTATTTGAAAGTTGCAAGATATTGCAACATGTGCAATGAAAACAAGTTTATCGAATTGCTCACAATGAGACAAACTGATAAAAAAATATTCCTTGTCTCAATTCTGTCCTTGGGGAAAGAGACACATAGAGACAAACAGAGAGGGAGAGACAGGCTGGTTGTAAGCTTGAAGGGAATGTTTCAAAATAAATTATGCTCACAAAGAAAAAAAAAAAAAGAAGTTTTCATGGACATTGATATCCACAAAAGTGAATTGTCTTCATAGATTTAAAATTGTTGAGCATAAAAGAGAAAAGTCTTTTGATTTAATTGTATTTGTATCCACAAAAGAATAGTCTTTGTCTAATCTAAATTGATTTCTTCAAAATAGAAAATGTCTTCATCTAATACAAACTAATGTCAAGAAAAGTCTTTTTTCCTAATGTGTGTGTGTGCGTGTGCATGAGTGAATATGCTCTTGGTTTAGGCAGCCATGCAATAGATGCAGATTTCAGATAAACAAATCAAGAGAGTCTTTGTTTGCTGTATTGTTGAGCCGCTTCTAGAACCAGATAAACTAAAACTAACTCTTCTGACTGGAAAATCTTGACAAATAGGCAGCAGTTATTGCCCTTTAATTACAACTGTAGGATAAAATCTACCTTGGAACAGACCAATACAAGTAAATTCTTAGAAAGTGGTCAATATGTAGTCCATAGAACGATATTCTTAAATTATTATTATTTATTATCAATCTCGGTCAGGCTGTTACATCTTTTTATGATAATATTTAAGTGTGTGTGTGTATGTGTGTGTATGTATATACATGTATGTATATATATATATATATATATACATACATACATACACATACTTTCCCAGTTACCTGACCCACTTCTATCATATGAATGTCATAAGTGGAAAAATTAAAAGTTGGGTATTGTGCTAGGGAGGCTATCTTCCTTACATTTTTTCTTTTTTTTTAATCATTTAATCCCAAGCAAAGCAATAAAGCCACTAAGATGCAAGGTGTTAACTGACAGTGAAAGAAACTGAGAAAATATTGTCGTTAGAGGACAATAAACGAAAAGGATTCAAGGAGACAGAAAAGGAGGATTGATGTTGCTTTTAAATTTTTGAAGATCATAGTCAACAGGAAAGCAAGAAACCATAAAATATTTCCACAAGCAAGAAGTGTGACAAAAGAAACTGTTAGCATAAAACTTATGGTTACATCTAGCTATTTCAACAGTGAAATGATGAGACCTAACTCCCAATCCAGTCCTACTGTCAAATTCACGAGGTCAAGGTACCAAAGAGGAGAGTTCATCAGAACACTTGCCATGAAAATATTTGTAGAAAAGGCACAGGGAAGCCATGTTACAATTGTGGTAAAGTGATTAAAGCCGAGATGTCAGGTCAAGACCAATAACATTTCAGATTTTGCTTTGGATTTTTCCTAAAATTTCTACATACATAGCAGAAGCACCAGACCAGATGTGGCAGCCATATTCAAAGCATGGACAAATGGTAGTCTTATAAAGTTGCAAGATAGATTCTGGCAAGAAAAACTATCTAGAATGACACAGTGAACCAACTCTCCTAGCAGCAGACCTAGAAAATGATTCAATATAATCATTCCATTTGATATCAGTGGAAAACTTGAGAATCAGGAAGTTGCAATGAGTTGTTCACCTAGAGGTTGAAAAGAATAAAAAAGGTAAAAAAATTCAATCTTTTTAGTTAACCTAAGAGAAATAGAGACACATCCTCATTGGTAATGTGCTGTTTGTGTTGATGTGTGTGAATACGCTTGAAGATGCTTAAGGTTTGGGTAGACATGCAGTGGATTAAGATGAAGAAACAGAAATAGTCATTAGGATCTTTATTCTTGATCCTTTTCTGGTCTCAATGTAACTAACTCTCCTGACCAGAAAACCTTAATAAGCAAAAATCAATTGATGCCCTTGAAATACAGTTATCTATATAGTACAATTCAATTTGCTTCCTATAAATGGCAGTGAATGACACAAACATATTAACTGAAGAGATTAATATAAAAAAAAGATAACACTCTTTGTCTAAATCAAATTGATTCTCTCCTAAATAAAACACATAACCAATGTGTTGATATATATTCACATCTGTCTATCAGTGAATGTTTAGTGTGAGTTGTCCCCATTTATGATAGTTTGTTGGGAATTTGTCTACGTAGATGACACTGCCAGATAATTTACAAGATATTTGTGGTAATGAGTGGTTGACCAATCAAAGCTAACCACATTACTATCTAAGTAAGAAAATAAATAAGAAAATAGTGTTAGTTATGTGCAGAGCTCCATGCTGAAATTAAAGAATGAATAAATTGTATTGATTTCATCATCAATCATATAACACAAACACTGATGAAGTCCTAAAGGACGAAATACGTCACACAGAATTTTTTCCACTTTGTCATTCATTTCTCAATTAACTTTAGATTTATTTAGGTAGAGTGGTGCAAGGAATTTGGCATCACAGCCCAAAATTGAAATGTCTCTAGAGGAAGAATGGAGAGATTTGAATTTTACATGAATGTAAGATTTTTGGCAATTTTGTTACCACCAATCTGGTCAGCAGAGAATCACTTATCCTCAAGATATCCAAGTTCATGTTTTACACTTGCTATCAAAACAATGTGTTACACTGTTTATACACTTTACACTTGCCACCAAGACAATGTGTTACACTGTTTATACACTGTATACTTGCCACCAAGACAATTTGTTACACTGTTTCACATCTCTCATACAGAAGAACCAATTTATAGATTGGATATACTTTTCTGATTTTTTTTTTACAAATAAAAATGGAGTAGGTACATTCTACACTAACAGATACATTTTTAACTAATGTTCACCAAATACAAGGCCCAAGAGCCACTCAAAGTAGAATATTACTGTGTGGTGTTGTATGAGCATTAAAAAAGGGAAGTTTCTTGGGGCTATGTAGGAGAGATAGCTAATTCTAGACTTGAAAAGGTCAAAATTTAATTTGTGAATAACATTTCCAAGTTCAGTTGGAGACATTAGAAGTATAGTGTGAAAGTAGATTTTAGAAAGAACTGAAAACCCAATTCTGAACATGAAATAAAGGATAACCCTCTACTCTTCTTCAAAAAACCAGGGAGAAGTGTGAACAAGATGATAGGCAAACCTATTTACTCCTATTGGGGGAGAGAAAAAAATTAATGAATAAAATTTCAAAACTTAGTCAGAGACACTAGAAGTATAGAGTTGAAGTTAGAATCAAAAGACAATGTAAGTGAAAAAATTGCATTCTGTATTTAAAGATGATACAAATTTTCTGATACCCAGGAGCCTTTGGTAAAAGCTGTAATGAAACTTTCAAGAAAAGAAGGAGATGAACTTACAGGAGGTGACTGATTCAGGGTTTGAGTTGCCATATATAATAAGATTTAGTACAGCACAAGGAATTTTAAAGTAAGCAATTCAGAAAGATCTTTTTTTTAGAATTTTGGTTTTGAAACTAAGAAAACAGACAAACAAAACTGAATTAATGAGATTAAATTACAACAACCAGACATGGATAATTATTTCCATTCAAAGATCAGCTTCAAATGAATTCATTGGGGATGGGACATAATTTCCACGCTAAATGACACCCTCACTGCCTTCTTCATTAGGTTGGGTCAAAAATAGTTTCATTGCAATTAGTAAAGTCAATGAAATAAGAAAATTAGGTCAACAAAGAAAAACAAGACAAACATTCAGGTCATTACTCTCTAGAATAAAGGAAAATATGCAGTGGCTGAACTATTAGATATTTCCATTCAAATATTAGATATTTAATATCCTTATACTGTTAATTATGTTTCTATTCATTCCTGACCACTGACAATCCCTCCCCAAATATTTTCATGGC